AGTCTGACGAGCAGCATGCTGGGCACCGACTGAGGAAGGAGCACAGGGGAGTGAGGGCGCGGCTGGGGGGCAGGGCCCAGGCTCCCAGGGGCTGTGCTGGCCCGAGGGCCATGCCCACAGACCCCGCATCTTCAGCAAACTCAAGACTCTGAGCCCCCGGAGAAGCTGCTGGAAGGGGGGCTGTTTCCGCCATTGCCCGTATCCCCCAGCTCTCTCGGCACTTCCCAGGCTGGCGGGGGTGGGGGGGGCAGGGAGCATCGCCCCTCCTACCCTCTCCTGACCCTCCTGACCCCTTCGTCCCCTCCTTCCCCAGGCAGGGCCAGCTGACATACGAGGCCCGCTTCCAGGGACCCATCTCCCTCCCTGACAACACCCATTCGTTCAAACAGGTAGGGATGCGTGGGACACAGGGACGCTTGGGGGTGGGGGGAACTGTGCAATCAAAGAACAGGAGCTGAAAGGCGACAGGTGGGGGGCGCAGTGCCCCCCCAGTCTGCGCAGCAGGGGACGGGCTGCTGACTCTGAGCGGGCCCCTCCTGGGTGCCCCCCGCCGGGTGCTGTCCAGATGCCAGCTTTGATGTGTCACAGAGCTGAGCGGGGCTCGGGCCCTTCTCCACACCCCGCCGAGCTGCCTGCAGGAACCAGGCCCCCTTCCGGAGCCGCCAGGCTCTCCCGCCCGAGCCCCAGCGCCTGGCTCTTCTAGGAGAACCAGGGACACACCGATGGGGCCCAGCGAAGCCCCCACGGTCACAGCCCAGGGGCAGCCCCGGGCCCCTCCTCCTGCCGCTCACTCGGTGACACGGCCACACCCAGCAGCTCCTTTCAAAGGGGCTGTGCCGGCTCCAAACAGCAGGCCACCGGGCCCGGTGGGCGCCACCTGCAACCAGGCCCCTAGGAGGGCCGCTTGCACCCCTTCCTTCAGCCCGAGACGCTTGTCCTCCCTGACCCGCCCCCACGTCCTTGCCTCTCATCTCCCCTGCACCCGGGCTGCCGGCCAGAGAACCCCAACAAGGCACCCTGGAAGCAGGCCGTGTGGCCTGAAATGTGCTGACCATCAGCCTAAGGAATCCCCGGAGGAATTTCCTAACCGCCCTTCTCTCTCCACTGAACTTTACACCCAAAAGCATCTTCCCCTG